GCAAACCATTGCACCATGGTAAGATCCAGTCTCACTGCATTAGCTTGTGTCAAGGGTACAACAAGAGACCAGCTATGAAATACATGAGATAATTTCATCAGTTGAGGTTTTGTTAAAACTAATAACGATATAGCGATCGGTAAACTGATCAGACTATAGGTGCACAGATGAAGCATTTGAAAGGAGCACCCAAGGGCCAACCATTCTAGAGACAAGTTCATTGCCTTAGAAATGCGGCAGAAAGGAGGCCTACTCATATAGTTGTGCATAAGAGGACCAGGTTTGATATGGACCAGCGCAACAGAGCACATGGTGTACTCGAAATCAGGAAACAGGGGCTGGAGTGGCGAATCAGAATGGTGGAGTTCAAAAAAGAAAGTGCACTTTCCATCAAAGGGGGGTGATCAGCTGTAACACACGTTTGCATAATTGGCAGCGACGGAAGCTGTGGTGTTTAAGAGGTACAGTAAAAAAACCCGATACAGGAAATCCGATAGTTGATGTCACTGGAAGGTATTCTCACTCAATCCACAACAAAAATACTAACTTTGTGCCTAGCAAGAAATGCGAAAGATGAGATATAATGGAAGAACCGTACATCAACGTGAGGGTGGATATGGGAGGAAAAGTACACAAGTATCATGGTGATGATCAGGAAATAAGTCACAATTGAGAAGTTGACGAGTTTTGATGCTTTTAACGTAGGTAGGTTTCATGAAGTAACGTGATCGGCACACCGCTAAAGATTCACACCGACTACACTCGGACACATGCTTAGAGAAACTAGTGATATTTTCAAAAGGTATAAGAAATAGACCCGAAAATAATGCGGCTGCAACTAGCAACAAAATTACATGCCACAGGTTAATCGGAGCAGCACGCTACCGTTAACATGGCCTGGAGGTAAAATATTAACTCAAAGCAAACGAGAAGATGCTACAGTTCAAGAGATAATAATGCGCCAAAAAAGCAGGGAAATGAGCATAACCAGTGGACATATGCGATACTATATTACGGTAGGAGTCCCCGTGACGACGACTGAATGTCAGTGGCTACCTTCTTATGTTTGGACGCACATACTAGCCAGTAGGAGAAAACAGTTCGAATCATTGTGGCGTGAGCAATAGGCACAATGAAGATGTTTAAAACACTGTCAGAGGTGGACATTATGAGGAGGCCCAGCTGCGATACTGTGACGCCCGTCTGATAAGTGGTTTACTCGATACATGACCAAAGTCAAGGAATAAATGCTCACTGTTAGATGTAGGTACGCACCCACTGTAAGATACACAACCGATCACGAGCCCCTAGTGTGTGGGCATGGATCAGGTAAAGTGACGGTTGGGGCCCAGCAAGATGATTACAATAAAGCGACTGTAAATATACGCAGTGAAGGACAAAGAACACGGTGTGCGATACACGTGGAGCGAAAATGATTGGAGTGCTACCATACAACATGATGACCACATAGTAAAGAAAACGAACTTGGGAATTGGGTAGCGCAAAATAATCAGGAAACTCAGAAGAGTGAGAGCGATGCAAAAGAAACATGTTACAGAAAAAAGATTTAGGTGAAGCAAAAGCGAGTTGAAATGGTTGACCTGGACTGACGCGGTGAGTTGTAATAAGGCGCCCAATGATGAAAAGGGGAGAATAAGGTAATGCGCTCACAGTAGACCCAAAGATAGCCGGGATAAAATGGGTTCCGAGTAAGCTCGGGTATCGTTGAGTGGAGTATAAAACATTACACGATTGAAGTTCGAAGTGAGGTAAGGTGCAGTGGGCGGTGTGAAGACCAAGGATAAGAAAAGTCTTAAAAGTTGAAGCCATGTGTTCTCGAATTGCTTACTGATAAGCTACATTCCACCACCCAAGGATAAGTAATGAGGTGCTTTCTTATAGACAGACTGATCCGAGAGTACAAGACCGGACTCAGGTGACTTGACACCTAAGAGGCTGTGATGTGATTGGCATAAAATACTGAAGTATGTAGAAATGCAGATATCCGGGAGGCTGGTGGATTTTCGGGTGGAATCGGTGCAAAGTATTTGACTATCTCTGCCGGATGAGACAAATTTCTAAGATAAGGGAGTTTTAACGGGGTATAACTAACAAGGTCTATCAAGAAGGTAGTAGTGAAAGAACGAAAGATAAGCACAAAGCGCTGTTATCCGGCGCCATAAAGTTGTCAACTTCCAAAGATGGAGGAAAGCGTGTCAGGCTACCCGGCTAAACAACATGCCAGAAAGCGACAGTGGATAAAATCAACTGAAACGCGGTTGTGACATACGGCTGATTAATTGCCAAGCATAATAAATGATTAATAGTTAGCGAGAGTGACGTAAATGAGTGGCGAGGACAGGAATCATCGTCAGGTTAAAAAGACTAACCAGAGAGAGGAATGGGGTGAATATAAGGAGAAAAACAATGAAGGCGTGGGAAACGACGAATAGCCGTGACGGAGGTAAAAGCATTAACCATTCATTGATCAAGTGAAAGGTGAGTCGCAAGTCATGGAGTCATTCGGATTGTGCACCAGGAAAGTGCTCATGTAGCTCACTGGTTCACCGAATTTTGAAAAGCTACAATAAACGCGGTCCAATGATGGTATTTTGCGTCAATGAATCAGTATCACGAACGAATGACAACACTAGCTCAGAGAACACGAAGACAATTCCAGATGTCTGAAGTGAATGGCCCTTCCACTGCACAACCAACCCCCAACTGACAAGAGAGAAGAAACGACAGAACCGTCATATAGGCTAAATACCTTTCAAAATGTGGAACATTCTTAGCGATTCATCAAGACCACCAGTCTGAGGCAAACAATTGTCTTGAATGATTCATCAACGGGCCGATAGAAATCATATTAAGTTAGAATACAAAAGAATAGTCAATGATTGGTTCAGAGATCTGTTACGAAATAAGTGGGTCAATGTTTAGAAGGCAAATAGTTCGCCGCTGTCTGATGCACACAGATCGATCAAGGGTTACGTAATCACAATGCCTGAGCCGATGTCAGAGTGACGGCCAGGTTGATGGTGAACAGCCATTACGAGAGAGTGAACAAATTGTTCTTGCGGGCACCGCGAAGATCGAAATATTCGGATCCCAATGGCCTCTGCCGTGGCGAGCATCATTAACCGCAAACCTTTTGATTTGCTCATAGGGGCCTGATAAACCACAGTAAACGCATTAGGGAGAGTAAGCCGGTGACCTGATTGGAACAGGTGGGACATAATATCGCCTGTGAGAAATCCGGCGACTTCGTCCAACAATCATTTGGGGCTATGTTTCTTAATGCGACTCGACCGATATATGTTGCACTACATGCACAATCAAATCAATAGATTATGTAAGAAAAGGTCAGCTTCGTCAGTCTGTCTTTGTTGCACACCGGAATTAGCTGGTTTGTAGCGAAGATGCATTGCAATTATGCAGCCGGAAGTGTTCGTTATGGATTGCGTCAATTTTCTTCTTACAAGCTCAGCAACTGAATCACATTTAAAACCAAGGCGGATAAAGAGAGCCTTCTTTTCGATTATTTTCTCAACGTTTGATGTAGTTGTGGGCTGCTTGTTGCGTTGAATGGATCTTTCCGTGCTACGCGTCCTGGATAGATTTCATTTTATCCTCCAGAGCGTCGTCTGAACATATCTTGCTCGCCCATTGAGGCGATTTGTACCGGCCCGTAGATGAGTCATTGAAACAAGTGTTTGCCTCAGACTGGTGTTCTTGGTGGAATGAATACAAAACGGACAAGCTGTAAGAACACCACGGACTTTTTGATAATGCCATGAGAACTAGATCTATAAGTGCTGAAACAGCAGATCCCGAGATCCACAGCTAGGACGGTATTGCACAACAGTGCGCCTGTATCTCATGCTCAGTTTCTTCGTGAAACGTTTCAACTTTCGAGTGGCTACATTGCGGCTTCACTAATCCATGCGTGGTGTCGGCTAATGTCCATTCTAGAGGTATTTGGCAGGTAGATAATGCGATCCAGCCCGCGAAAGTGATTATGAGTTAAATGGTGGCTGAACACGATACAGAAGTTCACCCGATTGATATGGGACGTAGCGAGTTGATGGCAATACCGAGTATAAGAGTACTTTCGTAGGAACGAGTAGTCAACGAGTATGGGTTGCTAAATGTCGTCAACACGTAAGGGTCATATAACTGATCCATGCACGAACATTGGCTGCATCGTGACAATCTGTAGTTTACTATTGGCCGATAAAATGATTTCTCGTCGCTGAAGTTTCGAAAAAGTACACCGCTCTAGTGACGCCAGCAGTAAATTAGCTTAAAATGACACAACCGCCCGCTTGGATAGAGTTTGAGTCCGATATTGAGTAAGCTTTTGCTCACATACTCCAAGTTTGGCTGCCACAGACTTGACGAGATATTTAATTTCGAAGACTAAGCCAAAATCAAAGCGAACACAAAGTTGAGATGGCATGAAGGTATAGGAGAATACTGAATAACCTAGTACATCATGGTGAGCTAAGAGATCACCGTAAAGCATTCCGAATTTAGGAAGCAACGAAAAAGAGATAATACAGAAGAGAAGAAACTAACACATCCATCAGAACTAGGAAATTGTGCAAACGATCAATAGGCCAAGGCTACTAAATTGAGAAAAAAACGACAGAAACGCATGCACCATCGATAACCTGAGGAGCAGTTTGATGTGCGGTGCTGAAGACAGCTGAATACGAAAATGATAACAGTCACCGCTGCGATCCAGCTGAAACCACGAGTGCACATGTGGGGATGTATCGAAAGTGAAGTGGTGGCAGAAGAGTACCACCTAGTAAGAGCTAAAAGACGGCAGCCATGAGCGCGCACGCACTATTTTTAGAGGTTCAACATGAACAGAACCCATCAATTGGGAAGCAATGAGAAGGGAAAAAGTTGCAAGTTTTTCAGGCACATGCATGAAGGTTGCAATCGTTGGGATGCAGTGAGATGAATAGCAGGCGGGTACGCTAACGTACTTATCATAGTCCTGGGGAAATCGATTCGCCAGACGCAGCTCAAATGGCTTTCGACGGGATCGAAGCCGATCACGATACATAGTGAAAAGAGTCTGAAAATGTGGGAAAAGTAATAGACAACAGAACTTAGACCAAAGATGTGTATTATGAAATGGTCTTTTAAGTAAATGGAAAGGATGACAGGTGATGGTGACAGGTGAGGATGACAGGTGAAGGTGAAAGGATGACATTGAGAAGACTGAATTAATCAGGCAAATAGGTACAGGGAAAATGCTTAAATCCTGGATGTAACGCGACCACCGGTTCTCTAATGTGCAACACAATCGCGTGTGATTCGGGGTGAACGGTTTTGGCGCATCGCGGTCAGTAGGCCAAGCATGGAAAGTATGCTTACCTCAACAGTGGATGCACGAATAACATTCCCAGTCAAAGCTTCCTCCTCGAAGCATATGGCCGCCTACACAAGACGAAGAAACACAAGAATGGGAGAATAACGAAATGCGTTTAAGCGAAAGGATAGTTAGGCGATTGGTAAAAATCGCAAATCCCTAATGGAGTGCATGGTAGGAAGTACAGGGTTAGAACTAAAAGAAACCGGTTACATAGATTAAAGTTGAAGCAAAGCAACGTCGGCATGTGCCATGGCGGAAGCGATATTCGCGGCCCTGGACTTCATAGGCTAGCCACCGAATGTATGGATTACTTGCTCACCCAACCAAGACCGTGAATAAAGGAGCTTGAATATAGCCTTCACACACAGCCCGACTATAATGATTGGTTTGAGATTGCCTACTCTATTTCGATGCCAATGTGCAACTCGGTTCTATATCACTAATCTTGTGATTCAGACATGGTAAGTTCATTTCATCTAAGTTGGACGCACGGATTTGTTTAGGTCATCGGCATGTTTTTCACAGGTGACAAGCAACTGTGCACAGCTACAATACAGAGACTAGGTGATCTTGTATCGTACCGATGGGTAGGTAATTTGATGCAAAAAGATCACGCTAGAGAATGAAAGTTTTTTAGTGAAGTAGATCTTACAAATAAGGTCCTGTTGAATTGTGTCAAACCGCGAAGCAAGAAGTACGATATTACAGTAGGTTGGGGCAAACAAGAAGCATCTCACCACAAAAGACAGTATGTGGGAGATTAAAAACCGGTTCGTTCAGAAACGGATTGTTCGAACGATCCAAACTCACAGTGACAGCTAGAAGATCGATCACTCGTACTCACTGACGCTGTGCTACATTAACGCGCACTGGCGATGTTACCTCGATTGGTGACGAAACGCTTGCAGCCAAACGGCCGAACCCTATTTGGCGTTTATTATGCTTCAACACGGTTGGGCTAGAGTAACTTGCACTTAGCCTTTTCGCATGCCATTTGATATGACCTAATCCATATTATTTTATTTGTTCAGTTTCCATCGCAAAGAGAGTGGATCTTAACGTGGTGCGACAGTTTGCCTACCTCTGTGACCCATTGAGCTATACTGGGTGGTGCCTCCGGGCACCTTGAGAGCTACTCCTACCAGGTTGGTCAATGGTTAGAGGTCAGACAAATCCAGTCTCCTAGTCTTCCAAGTTGTAGGTTTGAAATGGGATGGCGTCCATTTCTGTAGAACAAAATCACTGCCATCTCCCACTGCCGTGCGGACAGATTTTTGAGTCAATGGTTTCAATGAAGGACCTGAATCGTCCTCCTGTCTAGGTCTGGGCACCCTGGCAGTATCCCAGCCCACATACAACCATGACATTTTCTTCATACACAAACTTCATCCTGCATCGGCCGTCGCGCAGATTAGCAAGGATCGCCTTATCTGCTGCATACAGCAGGGCGGATAAGCGAAAACATGCTACTGCTGGCGCCTCCCTTCTTTCTTTTCCACTTTTTTCTCTTACTCCCATCCCGGCCCCCATTACTAACCTTCCTTCTATAATTCCCAGCTTAATTGACAGCAACCGAAATGCCACTGGCGTAGAACCATCTGCAGCCACCATCCCACAGCACCTATCGGACGCCTATCGACAAAAGTCCCTTATAAAACCACGCTATCCCGTTTCCATGGTGACATTCAACGTCCGCACTCTAAGACAAACAGGTCAACAGGCTGCACTCGCACGCACCTTGGACACACTGGGTATTGATGTGTGTTGTGTGTCCGAAACTAGGATCAATGACCCTAACGGGGTTATTGAATTAACTGCACCCGGCTTATCCTCTTGCTATTGGTTGCACGCATCCGCAGACGCTGATGCAGCACTCACGGGTCAAGCCAGTGTAGGTATCATTCTAAGCTCCAAGGCTGAGCCATCGTTGACTGATTGGATTCCGGTGAACAGCCGTTTGTGTGCAGCCCATTTGACGACGTCAACTAAAGTTGATTCACGAAGTAGGACAAAACGCGGTTTGTTCATGATTTCTGCTTATGCTCCCACCGACCGCAGTTCTGATGCTGCCGAGAACACATTCTCTCATGAACTGAACGCGCTACTCCGCAGTGCTACTAGTGCAGATATTATAGTACTTGCAGGGGATATGAATGCACAAGTAGGGCATCTGAACACTGCAGAAAATCAGCTAGGTGATAATTATGGGATTAAGTTTGAATGGACTGATAAAGGCGAGCGCCTGCTACAACTGTGTGCAGAGCACCAGTTGTTTTGTAGTAGCACAGCTTTTAGACCTACTGGGCGCCGAAGTGCAACTTGGCGTCCTCCTGTAGCTGACCAGCGATGGACCAGAATTGATCAAATTGACATAAGTTACCGTGGCGTGGTTCCATCCTGGATTGCCGCTCTTTCTAGAATACCTGCGTCCACTCTGACCATGCCACGGTACGCTGTCGTTTTTCCATGCACGTTACCGCGAGGCGCACCAAGCGTCTCACCGATAGGCAACGGAGAAATTGTCTCAGCCCCAGGTCAGGCAAGCCTACCAAGACATACTGCGTACCGAACTTGCGCTGCTTTATCCTAATGACACTGAGCTTCTTGCGTCATGCACGACGCAACAGTATCTGCTTGTGGTACTATCAATCGTAACCGTACCAGTCATTGGGTATACGAGAGGTCGGTGAATCTGTTGGAATCCAGAAGAAAACTCCCGGCTGGATCTGAGCATAATGTTACAATATGGAACATGAGACGCGAACTAAAGCGGAGCATTTGTGCTGCCAAGGTAGTCTGATGGACTAGTCGGGCTCAAGAAATAGAGGAGGCGGGAGCAGTAGGCAATTATGCAAACTCTTTCAAATAATCTGCACCATCGGTTCCAGGAAACCAGGCGTCAGTGAGACAAGCAGAGACAGCATGGATTCATTGATTCACAATAATCAACGTCATATGGCTTTTTGGGCGGAACCCTTTCAAAATCAGTTCAATTGGCCCCTTGCTCCAGGACCCCTACCTACTCAACTGATGTAAGACGAGCCGTGGCCGGTTACTTTCGAGGCTCCGTCGGAGGCTGAAGTTTGAAATGCGATCACAGCCCTCAACCGTTTTCGTGCGGCTGACTCGGATTCCATCCCACTTGCGCTATAAAACGATGGAGGTGAGGTCCTCTGCAAAGCACTGACCTCCCTATTCGAAAGTATTTAATAGAAAGAGAGTGAACAGGCTAACCGGAGTTAAACGATTATAGTGGAAACATACAAGAGCAGTTGCACCGAATGTGCTAACCACAGGGGTATTAACCTAACGCCAGTTGTGACAAAATTACTGGCCTCAATTTCCATTCGTCGCCTCACAGTGGAACGGGAATCGCGGATTACGGAAGAGCACGCAAGTTTCCGCCCAGAACGTGGCTGTATAGACCACATATTCACTCTGCGTCAGCTACCAGTGAAGCGATACGCAAACCGCAGACCGATCATAGCTGTATTCCTCGAGTTCGCACTCTTGTACGTTCGATTCAGTAGATCGATGCACCATGTTCGAAATAATTGCGCGTAAAGGTGTTCCCACGAAATAGGTGAACATCTTACGTGCTCTATACTTGAACACTATAGGCAACATCAGTGTCTATGGTGACTTATCGGATAGCCTTCCGACAACAAGTGGCGTTCGTCAGAGTTGTCCAATATCCCCAATTTTGTTCAATCACATCGTGGACTCCATCATGGAGTGTTCCCTTGCGGAATCTCACGATGTAGGCGTTGAGGTCCTGCCTGGTTGGAAGAGTTTTGGATCTTGATTATGCGGATTATATGGTCTTGGTGAGTAACGAGGTTGGGGCGGCACAATCAACCAGGAATAGCCTCTCTAAAGTGGTCGCATTATTTGATTTGAACATCGTAACTTTAAAGTGATGCTGTAGGACCACCAGCCACTTTATGACCCCTTGACCCTTGAAAACGAGGAACTCGACTTAGTTGATTGATTCACTTACCTTGGCAGCTGCATCGGAAACGATGGGCGCATAGAAACCGAAATTATTTCATGCATCGCAAAAGCCAGAACTGCCTTCATAAACCTACGGCATGTCTGGTGACAGAAGGGGTTTTCCTTCGGTCCAAAACGCCGTGCATACAAGAGCATAGCAAGGGCCGTCCTGCTCTATGAGAGTGAGACTGGGATCCCTCGCTCAAAAGACCTGCGGCGCATTCAAGCCTTTGAGCCCTACTGTCTGCGGAGCATCACTAGTGTCGGAAGGTTCCAGCATGTAGGCAACGATTATGTGCTTAAGTGAGTACCAGGTAAGCATAACCAACCAACTTGCTTAAAACAACAAACAGCACTGGACAAGATGCGTTGGATTTGGTCCGTACTACGCATGCATGGTCACCGCATCCTTAGGAGGGCCTTGCGTAGTCGGCTACATATAAGGTGGCGCAAGTCTCGAGATGGACTAAAGTTGAGTTGACAGCACAAAATGAAGTCACTAAAGACCAAACTCGTCAGCAGCAGCAGCAGCAGCAGCAGCAGCAGCAGCAGCAGCAGCAGCAGCAGCAGCAGCAGCAGCAGCAGCAGCAGCAGCAGCAGCAGCAGCAGCAGCAGCAGCAGCAGCAGCAGCAGCAGCAGCAGCAGCAGCAGCAGCAGCAGCAGCAGCAGCAGCAGCAGCAGCAGCAGCAGCAGCAGCAGCAGCAGCAGCAGCAGCAGCAGCAGCAGCAGCAGCAGCAGCAGCAGCAGCAGCAGCAGCAGCAGCAGCAGCAGCAGCAGCAGCAGCAGCAGCAGCAGCAGCAGCAGCAGCAGCAGCAGCAGCAGCAGCAGCAGCAGCAGCAGCAGCAGCAGCAGCAGCAGCAGCAGCAGCAGCAGGCAGCAGCAGCAGCAGCAGCAGCAGCAGCAGCAGCAGCAGCAGCAGCAGCAGCAGCAGCAGCAGCAGCAGCAGCAGCAGCAGCAGCAGCAGCAGCAGCAGCAGCAGCAGCAGCAGCAGCAGCAGCAGCAGCAGCAGCAGCAGCAGCAGCAGCAGCAGCAGCAGCAGCAGCAGCAGCAGCAGCAGCAGCAGCAGCAGCAG